ATTAAACATATCGATGATGATGAAAATCAATTTCTTCTTTCGACTGATATTTTACTGCCAAATAATCATACTGATTTGTAACTTGTATTTTATCAAAAATAAACAAGAAAAATTATCATCATAATATCTTGAGAGCAACGTTGATAAATTCATAATGAAAAACAATTTATCATTTTGATAGTGTAAATTTGTTAGTTTGTCGACGGGAGCTTTCATTTGACTCGAATATGTTCAATCCTCGCAACTTACAGTACGCGAACTTCCATTGTTAGTTATAGTTCTGTTTATGTACCTAATTTACTATGTCTTACCTACGTTTTCTATCAACAGACAAATGAACGCCTTTCAAGTGTTGAAAAATCTGTACGCATACGTATTAATAAAACATAGTATATCTAAGAACTATTGAATAGGAATTAGACATGCAAATAGGACCATTCTTTTAGGTTTTCTTGTCTTATGATCTGCATTATGGGTTCTATATTTTGTGAAAATATTCGAAGTTTCTTGATAAACGCTTGTTCTTCCATTTGACAATATACTAAATTAAATAATAGCTGCCCAATGAGACTCTTCTAAAAGGTCGAAATACGGAGCGTGCCAGTTTATATTCGAAACTCATTCTCATTCCTCTTTTTTTCAGAGCATAATTATTCCAATCGATTAAAAAAAAATGCTTTTATTCTGAAAAATGTATAAGATGTGAACATAGAAGGTCTCCAGAATAAATGAAATGTGTCGCTAATTAAAGAGTCAATATTGAGCAAACAGTCCAAATAAGATCATGCGGAATTCAAGGGTTGCGTACTTCGGCAATCAATTCCTTGTCATTGAGTAACTTAAGAACAAAAGGCCTACAATCAATAAACCAAGGACTTGGTATGTCTGCTTGAAGAGAATACCGATTCCAGTAGTGAAAGTTGATGCAGTGCTTTCCACACAGTTGGCGTTGACTTCACCTGCATTAGTTAGGTCTGTGTTACACATCGAGTTGAACGTTTTGACACATATAGCTACGCCGCAATTGGAACATGCTGTCACAATGACATTACCTGCAAATGTCGGACTGCAGCCGGAGGATAGGCAACAGGCGCAGATGCAAGTAGAACCATTGACACGACCAATGTTAGCTAATGTTATTAGAACCATCAACGCGAATAGTGTGGAGAATTGCATCATGGAATTATCTGATTATTTCAAAAGAATAAATTATCACTGTACTGTCGATTAAATCGAATTTCTAAAAAGAAAGTCGTTGTGTTACAGGTGAACAATGAAATTCAAATTCCTCAGTACAGTCCTGCTTGTTAGCAGTCAATTTCTTGGGGGCATTGTAGCTTTCACTGTAGAAACAGGACTATTTAGTTGTTACCAAGTGACACTTTCAGTAATAAGTGTTTCGTATATTTCTCCAATTTTGTATAAAAAAGAAGTTTTCAACAAGTACCACGTTTTACATACCTTGTCTCAATGAGATTGCATCATTTTTCTGACTGATCAATAAATTTGTGCTACCACTATCTGTTCTTCGTATATGGCTCGTTATTGCACAAGTTATGTTATTGATATAGAAAATGCGCATTATGGATGAGTATGGCAACATCAAAACAACAGCAATTTTGCTGTCACTTTTATTTGGCTTGTATTTTATTGCTCAGTATTTTATGATGAATGCTTAGTATATTTTTTATTATACATTCAGTATTTTTTGCTCAGTAAAAATTTAGTTTTAGCATAGTAAATAATTTGAAACACTCAGTAATTAATTCAAAAAGACTTAGTAATTAATTTGAAAAGATTCAGTATTTAATTAATTTTTGTTCAGTTTTTTATTAATTAATATCAGTAAAAATAGTATAATTAACATACAGTTGACAAGAAAATAATTAAACAAAGAATTTACATCTATAGAACATAATGAGCTTATTGCATCAATAATGCTTTCTTAGATTTTAATGGTCTGCCACGACGTCTTTTTTCACTAATTGTAACATTTATTAGAAATAAGTGATGGTTTGGAGCAGTTGAACTTAATCGTCATACCGATGACATGTTTACACATAAATCTTTTGAAAATTTTTATCGTTTATATATAACATCATGATTTATTGTTAAATATTCAATTAGTTATTGATGCAAGCAAAATAGAAGAATGGTTATCTACGGTTTAAGCAGTTTATTTTATTTCAAGACGTTTGGTCAACTATGTTGACATCATCAGTCAATAGAATTTAGTATAATATATAACCTAAGATGAATATTTAGTAAATATAGAATGAGCAAATAAGAATAAAACAAAATTTGAAATAATTCTATACATATTTTATTTTAAATTTTGTTTTATTCTTATTTGCTCATTCTATATTTACTAAATATTTATCTTAGGTTGTATATTATACTAAATTCTATTAACTAATGATGCTTGTTAAAGATTTGTCCAAATATTTGAATATATCACATATTGTCTGTTTTCCCATTAACTGAAACACATCAATTGTTGATTTTTTCTGCTATGTTCTCGTATGTTATACATTAATTATTTTTTTTCGTTCTTTGGTATAGTTCTTTATGTCATTACACATACTCTTTTGTTCTTCTTGCTCTCTTCTTCTACCTTCGGTGGTTATTGTCATTGAATAAACTGAACTCATGTTCACAAAAAACTACAAAATTTACCATATCAATCTAGTTGACGTGGAGCCATTCTTCTTTTCTTCTATAAAAAAAAAATAAAAATGATTCAATTACTGATAAAAGTAGTATTCATTTATAATGAGCAAAATGAATTTTTAAATAAGCAAACTGAATTAACTACTGATATTTGAATTTTAATATTAAACAAATTATTAATTTACTGAGCAAACATAATAGTTACCGAATATTAAACTTTATAGTGATAGTCTGATTCGTTTACTGATAATTTGTATATAATACTGAGCAAATTATACTGAGCATTTAATTTGTTCTCCTTTTATTTGTATGGCTCGTTATCACGTCTTCTTCTCATGTATACCACTATAAATAAAACACAGTTCTGTATCTCACCGTCTGTTCCAATTGAAAGGTTAATGTGATGTCTCATTCTGAAAGCATATATTTCGCGAAACAACACTTGAAAGAATGATCTGCTGACGTAGCAAGAATTTTGCTGAATGGAAGGGACAGAAACATGCATAGGCTTAAGTTGTTTATGGGACGATGGCTTAGCTACAGGTCTACCGCTGGCTACACCACTGGAATGAATCTTCTGCTCCTCGAACAGTAGAGAGCAAAGTGTATCTTAGGCACATACTGTTCATATACAATTGAAGAATAAAGACGATAACATATCATACGAGACATATGCAAAATGGCAGGACATACGTTATAGGAGAGAGATACAGAATGCATGGCTAGGAGTATAATAGTTAAAGGATAGTGCTGAAAGAAAAACGTCCATGCAGTATGCATGAACCATAGCTAGTTTCTAAAAAATGTCATCATGTCACAAGTGAGTTTGCCATGTAACCAGAAAATCATGGGTAGTATGGCAGTATTCTTCGATCTTGAGAAAAACCCATCCAGGATAGTGTGAGGGTAGGTGTGGGCGTGGGTATGGTTCTTTTACTTTTACGGCCACACCCACGCGAAACCTGCATGTTCTATCTTTCAGATCCTATTTGAAATTGTTTTATATGTGAAATCAGATCAATTGTTCTCCTTAATGTCGTCACATCGAGTTCTAAAATAAAAATCAAACATATTGTACGAAAAATCTCTGATAAGGGCTAAATATAGATGGATGTGAATAAAATTATTATTTACACCCACACCTTTATAGCCATACTATCTATAGAGCACATAATTCTCCTAGTCTTGTTAGAATTATTTTCTATATCAAACGCTATGTTTTTCTATTTATTTAAAATCAATCATTATTATATACATAAAGTAAAAAACAAGTCCTGAACAACTAAATTTTTACCACCATAAACACAAATCACAATTAATAAATTTACTGCAATAATCATGAAGTAAATTTTCTGATCTGGTTAAAACATTTAATTTTTTTAAACATATTTTTGGTATTCGTAAAATACATAAAAAGAATAAATGTTGTGTTTTATCATTAGTTTTTAATAATAAAAATCGAACTATTGATTGTATTTCTTTTTTATTCATTCCAATTTTAAGATATTCTAATTGTGAAAATAAATTCACAATCAATTGAATTTCATTCAATGAACACCAAACACCAAAATCGACAATTTTTATTTTATTTGTATTTGATACATATTGAAAAACTTCATTTTCTTTAATTACATTTAAATTAATGTCACTGAAAAATAAATGATCCAATTTTAATGCATATAAATTCGGTGTCAAATATAACAATTGAAAAATTTCAATGAATGAAAACTTATAACATTCAATAACTAACTTTGTAAGTTGTTTTAAAGGAATCATACAATGAAGAGTTGTCGGAATTGAATCATCCGATGTTTCAAAACGATGTTTAATAGTTAATTGATTAACATTTGGAAAATAATTGAGATAATTATCCTTTATTTCTTCACTACAAATATAAAGATGTTTAACTGAATCATAATTTTCTTTTTGTATTTGTGAACAAATTGATTCATTTGATTCCCAATAATATATATAATCTTTTCGCCTAAAATAGAAAAAAGAATTTTCCATCAACAACTAAGAATTTCTATCTACCGATATGGAGCAGTTGAATACAGAATTACATCATCAGGTTGATCTTTCGAAATATGTTGATGCCCAGGCGAGCAAAGGACGGGTAAAAAGACTAGTCATTTTTCTAGTCGTGACTATGCGTCATGTCTAGTCTTTTTCTCAAAAAGTCCTACTACATGACTAGTCCAAAATGGTTTGGAATCTTTAACCCCGTCGGGGCATCTCGTCCGAAAATAGATTTTAAATTCAAAAAGGCAGAGCGCTTATGACGCGACATCTATTAGGTTTCAGTCTTATGTAGCGGTCTAGTTCGGACTAGTCTGAATGATAGAAATATGTGCAGAAAGTTAGATTCGTTCATGCATACCTTGTGTTACTTACTCGTCGTCTACCCGATTGAGCCATATGATCTAGTGATCAACTTTTACATGTCAATACACATCTGAAGACACTAATTACTACAGTTTGACTTAGCGTTTTCTCAAGTTTTAATATTTATAGAAACTACTTGTAATAAAATCGAAAATTAGTTAAATAAAGCTAAGCAAAATTAATTCAAAATTTTTTTAATTTCCTTCAACAGAATTTTTTTTTGATTATCGACATATGGAAAAAATTATTTTCTATTGGAAAGAACAATTCAAATTTAAATCAAAATCAAAATAATAATATACATTTCAAAAAAAATCTCGCTTTTCATCTCATGGTTTATGTTTATCTTAATTTAAAATATTTCCTATTTAAATTTGAAAATGAACTATGATTCTACCGTTTAAATCCCTTTTTAAATTCAAATCATTAGGTTTTATATTGAAATAAAATAATATTCTCATATCAATGCATTAAAATTAATTTTTCGAATAAAATTATTCTTCATTGTTATTACAATGTAAAAATTTAAAAGGACATAAATAGCCAACTCTCATTAGATACATCGTTCTAGTTCCAATGCAAACTAGTCAAAACGAATTGTCCGAATGGTTAAGTCCAAGCAATAAAGACTGTTTGGAAGGATAGACTAGCCTGGACCAGAATTAGCATTACTTTCTCGAAAACGACTAGTCATGACCAATATAGATGACTCTTCATACTAGTCCGCGTTACCTATCGAAAACAGTTTAGACTAGTCAGGTATCCAATATTGTCGGCTAGAATGTTCGAATCGACCTATCGTCTCCGTTTCTTCTAGCTTTTGCCTTCAAGTTGACGCGTCTGGACAGTATGCACATACAAAACGGACTAGCCATGACAAGATTAGAGCATGTTTTGGACTAGTCTATTTTAGATGCAAGACGTTGCTCGTGAAGACGACTAGTCCTGACTAGCTGCAAATCATTTCAGACTAGTCCAAACGGCAGTGTAGACATTTTAGACTAGTCCAGACGAGTACTACGGACAATTTAGACTAGTCATGTCGGGCGTCACCCCTTATTTTTTGCTCGCCTGGGTGTGTAAAAAACCATCTATTTTTAATCCAAAACGAAGAATTAAATTCATTAATAATATCATGATATGTTAAAGTATTGGTTTTTACAGAACCTTCATGATTTATATCAAAGATACGTAAATATGGCATATATGTTACTATTAATTTTTGCCAATGTTTAGCATTTAAATATGCTGCATCATGATATGTTGTAAGACGTAAAGTTTGAACATAATGAAAAACTTTTCTAATAATTTTTTTAAACTTTGTGAACTCAATATGATCAATATGAAGAGAAACATATTTCAAATATTTTAATTGAATAAGAGATAATTCTTCTTCTTCTGTATCAAAACGTTGTTGAACAAGACAATCAATTGATAAATGTTGAAGTTTAGGAAGACAATATAGTAAATGACCAAACGAATCAAATGGAAAACGACCATTGATTATCAACGATTGCATTGGACTATAATCATCTTCAATAAGTGCAGTAAATAATGGTTCTTCATAATTTTTTGTTTGATATTCAATTTTAAAATATTTTAATTTCGATAATAAAAATATACGAGCAAAAATTAAGTTAAGGATTCAATATAATCACTGATCGAAATAGTTAATGAATAAAATTTACGTAGATGTACTAAATTATCTAAAATTTTATAAAGATACTTGATTTGTATATTTTCAAGAACTAATGTTTCAAGATGAATGAAATTGAAAACTAATCGTGGACGTGAGAAAATGATTTCAGCAATAAATGGATTTGATAAACGAAGAAAATTAATTCGATTTCGATTCGGCATAAGAATATTTCGATAATAATCTTTGAAATTTGATTTTGACATTGTTGAAAAATTGATTTTAGTCAAAACATTTGCATGAATAGCTAAATCTTGAAATCGTTTATTAAGATTGTAAAATCCTTTGTAAATATCATATACATTAACATATTCAAATATTTCATAGAGAATTTCATTAGTTAAATCTTCAAGACAATATCTAAATAAGAGTAAAGGATAATTATTTACATGATGAAAGAGATATATCTAACTTATTTGAATTCATTGTTGGTACTGAAATAATGAAAAGAAAAAAAGAAAGATTTAACAGACTTTAAAATGAAATATTACTTTGATTTTCTAATTTTCGTTTTTTATGACTATCTGAAATTTGAACCATTTCGTTGTCATGTCGTTTTGTCTGTTGCATGTTTAAGATAAACTGAATAACGATTATACTGACCGAGAACGAACACATACACACGTGTGAAAATAAATACATTGTCTTTTTTTCTTCTCTAAACACAATAGATACCAAGAACGGACCAATTAAGAAGAAATAATTTCAAAAGCTTTTCGAAAAAAAATAGTTACAAAATAAAGACCAATCGAATTTTCTTTTATTTTTATCACCATGCGTTGTTGTATTTTTGGTAATTCAACTTAGACAAATTACAATTGGTTTTGCTCATTCGATGATCATTGATTTAAAAGTGAATTCTTTCTCAGATCAGTATTTCTTTTCAGAACACGCGTATATGAGAAGCCAAAATATACAACTTACAAGACTTGAATCGTTTTTAATTTGTAGTAGCTTATATTGTTAACAAAGTCGAAGTTGTTAGTGTACTTTGAAAATTAGTCGAATAAATAAATGAGTCAAAATGCTAATTGTTATTTTTTGTTGAAGCTATACTCTGATTGTATTGATCAAATTGAACACTTTTTATTTCAAAATATTTCTTTGTCTCAATTTATTGGCTTTATTTAATATTTTTAGAGTATTATTTGTACATCTCAAATGAAAGCTTTTTTCTTTAACAGACGTTCATGTATTTCTTGCTTCTTTTTTTTATTGAGTTTTGATTAGTTAGTATTATAGACTTAATCATTATTAAATAAACTTATTACATACATTTATTGTTTCTTCATACGGTCTTAATAATCTTTTATGCACCTCGATGTATTCAGCTTGATCTAAATTGCCTATATATGAAGATTAAAAAATAATTTAATGATGGTTTTTTTTTGTAAGCCATGTCTAATTCATGTAAAATTAAAACATTATCCTTGATAACGATCGTATAATCTGTTATCTTTGCAAAAATGCCAGTCATTTCTGTGTTCACGAATATTCTAGAATCCTTCAGAACCTTTTAAATCCATCTATGGTTACCGAGGCATGTGTTGAAAGCGTTTATAGGAAAGGACGCGGCGCAGCTATTTTTCGAATTCTTTTCCTTATATTTGATCGTAATAATTATTAAAACCAACATGTTCCGTAAACTTCAATTTCTCAGAGTTTTATGTATTATTCTTTGTCAGGTCATCTAATAAACGTTCATTTAATCTCAATGATCGCTTTCGATTTACAGCAGTTAATTGTTTATTAAAATATTCACTTTTCAAATTTATTATTACTATGTGAAAATTTTCTTTGACAGAGCCCATTTTGAGAAATACGAAGTCTAACTGTTTTTTTTCCGAGGGTATAAAACAAGGAGATAAAATACGTCCTAAACAAGTAAATTTTCTAATGCAATTAAATTGTTTACTTCTTATAACCAATCTTGTGAAAAATTTGAAAGACATAAATAAAATAAATGCTGTGTTTTATTATGAATTTTTGATAATAAATATCGAATTGCTGGTTTCATGTCTGTTTCTATTATTTCAGTTTTAAAATATTTTAATTTCGAAAATATGTAAACAATAAACTGAATCTCATTCAATGATGATGTTTAATGATATTTGAATCAATCGCATGCAAAGTATCTTCACAAAATTCTAATGTGTACAAATTTGGTATTAAGCGTAATAATTTAATAACTTCTTCAAATAGAAAACAATAAGTTTCAACAATTAATTTTGTAAGCTGTCTTAAAGGAATGATACGATTAAGATTTATTATGAATGAATCATCATCTGATCTTTTAACATAAATTTAAATAGTCAATTGACTAACATTTGAAAAATAATTTCGACGGTTGGGTTTTGTTTCACTTGTAATATTAAGATATTTGATTGAATTTAAATTTTCTTGATGATGCAAACCAAATTTTT